AGAACGGAAATAAAGGGTTAGAACAATAATACATATTGATTTTTAGCTTCGACACAGATAAAGCAATTTTTAGCCCGAATAATCTTTCCCATTTCTTCAACATGTTTTATAAAATCTAGGAAAGTCCCAATCGCAGAATGCTAACCAAATGAAGTATAAACATATATAATCAAACTTGACTGTGCTAATTAAAGCTGTTTAGGACCCATCAAATGGATCCACACCCAAGCTTTCAGTATTAGCCATATAAATCTGGCTGTTCAAAACCGTGTTCTTACTTTTACTTACCAACCCGCCCCCTATATCCCCCCCTGCTCCGTCGTTTCTTACAACTTCCAATCACCGAAGCACCCCACCATTGATCATTGATCAGAATGGAAAGCCATAACTTGGACAGGCAACTTCCATGGCCATGGGCCACACACAATGGATGGCATAATGTCCCAGGGGCAACTGGGGGTCTACGGGGGTGCGGAGGGGCTAGAACCAATGGCACACAGCAACAGTTACATCGACCCAAAGGAAGTCGAGGTCTTTTGGCCATAGCTTCAGGTCTTCAGTAGTTTTTAGTCGACGACACAAGGTTTTCACTCGGCGTCGTCGTCAGGTGATGAATGGTAATGAAAACGTTGCTCTGTCAGTTGCAGTTGCAGTTGCATTCGCAGTCGCTGTTCTGCCGTGTTTTTATTGTTGTTGGTGGTAGAACTGCGCCGCTTTGTCTGCCAGTCGAGGCAAAGTCGAGAGCCACAACTGCCTCAATAAAAACTAATGCACAGGCAGCGTCGGTTGTTGATGTGGCTGCTGTTGCTGCTGCTGCTTGTAGCCGATAATCATCAGATGTTGCTGCTGCCGTTGCGGCCATGGTTGCAGTTTTGTTGGTGGCTGGTTGGCCCACTTGTTGCCACCACCAACTACCAACCGCCGACCAGCAACCACCGTCGTCATCAAGTGTGGTAGCAGAAAAACATAAAATTTTATGCATTCGTATTTCTTGTGAAGCGCGGCAGTCAGCAATACGCCCCAAAGCACCACCCTCTTCCCTCCGTTCCCCTTAGCCACACAGAAAAATATAAGCTTTCACACTACAAGATCTAGTAATACTATGAGGTCTAATAATACATATTATTATAGTAATACTTTTTAATACACCAAGTACTTTCTTGATGCGAAAAAGGGTAGAGGTATTGTACTTTTCGGAATACAAGTATTTATAAACTACAAATTTCTTCCAGTGTATCAAACAATTGTCGGGTTTCTCTAGCGTTTTGTTGTTGCTGCCCGCTCGTCGTTGTTCGTTGGCTCGTTTTGATTAATCTGACATTGTAATGCAAAAAGCCATTTGGCAACGGGCGGCGAGAAGGAGAAACAAGTTATTACCGCAAAAGAAAAACAGAGACTCGGCTGCACTAGCCTCGTGTTCAACCCAGTTAAAAGGCCAAACTTGACCTGGCCGTGGAACGGATTTAGATGTATCCCAACTGGCCGCAGCAGCAGCACCAGCTGCCTAAAAAGAATAATGGCCTAAAAATAATAAAGAGGGGCTGAGATAGAGTATAATTTCTCTTCTCTTCGAGACGCCCACGTTTCTGGCACGAGGCAAATAAAATTGCGGAAATGATTCCAACAAATTGATAGGCAGCTTTCGAAGTGGCCAATTTTCAAGGCATAGAAGGGTAATAAGAAGGTTGCAACTTTATTGGGTAATTGCAGAAGGCGTCGGCCAGGCGATCCCAAAACGCTTCTGGAAAGGAAGCGGAAAAAGCAAGTCTGAAAGGGTGTCTAACAACAGCTGGAGAAACACTTCTGGAACTGCGTGGCCAGAAAAACAAAGAGAAGGTCGTTAAAAAGCCGCATAAAATGCACCCTTTTGAAAAGAAAACCGCATTCCCTTGATCAGATAATCTGAATGAAGGGCGTCGGAAATGCGTTAGAAACATTTTAAAAAATGTGACGTCACGTATAAACTTAAAATATTCAGAAAACTTAACGTAGAATTGCAAATATAGTTTATATTCTGGATTGTAAACGCAACCGTATGGAGAGATTAATTAAAATGAATGACTCAAGTGAAATTATAAAAATACACCGGATAATCGTATGAAATCGAGCCTTATCAAAAATCATTGAGGTAGATTGACAGACATGGAAAGATTACACTCGATTAATAATACATTAAAATGATGAAATTGTACAAATTCTATTTAGTCTTGACACAATTTTGAAGCCGCTAGCAACGTAAATTTATTAGTTATGATCATAAATTCAACATTTATTAGTATTTTTGTTCTTGTGATGACAATACCACCCATACTGGCGGCAGGAATACGTCCTTTTGCTCTTTCAAAAACTGGATATATCAAAAGTTTGGAAAAAAGTTGTAAGAAAAATCCTTCGTCGGGCTGTACACTCCTAAGTTATGAACGATTATCACTACAACAACTAACAGTGAATGGAACGATCTTTCTATGCAGACAATTTCCAGATGACTGTTAATTCGATAAGTTTAATTAAGTGAAACCTGCTAAGCTACTAAAAAGAACACTTATAAAATAATAATATTAATATTTAGAGTTGTTTCTATTACAAATAAACAAAGTGCTACAGATTAAAAACCAGATTCATTGTAGTGCCTGAATAACGAACACTTAAAGTCCTGCAATACTCGCTTTAAGCAGAAGCTTTAATGCGTTTTCCGAATACCCAGACCGGCCACGCCCAAGCCCAAAGAAAGAGGGAGATGGGCTGACCCGAGGAGAGAAAGGGAGGGAGGGCGGTGGGGGCGTGAGGGCAGGACGACATAAACTTGGAATGTTGAATGTGCCTCAAAGTTTTGCTGACATGACTGTCACTAATGCCAAACACGCGCCACAGTTTCAGACACAGACACACACAGGCAGACGCACAACAAACACGCACACCCACACCAAGGCAGTCTTGCGCACACACCAGTACAGGGGCAGTGTGTACGTATACGATGGCAGACATAACGAGCCATACATTTGGCACAGAAAAACGCACACACCCACAAACACCTACAAACCAACACTCGCATAACACACAAAACTGTGTCGCACTCACAGACGATGAAGAAGAAGAGTCGAGAGAGAGCGAGAGAGAGAGCGGAAGTGGGGAGGAAGAAGCAGAGCTGGGGCACAGAGGAAGTGGGTGGTGGGGCGGAAACGGAAGCTCTGGGCGAGGCAGCTGGCGTCTAGAATCGCTGGCAGACAGCACAAAAGTACATATAAAGTGGAGGAGAGGAGAAGGGCGGGCAGAAAGAGCTGTAAAGAAGTGGTGCCAGGAGGATAGAGAGAGAGAGGTGCAGTTTTTATGGATGTGTGTGACAGAGAAAGACAAGGCATTGCCTATGTAACTCACACACACACACTAAGAAGCCGAAGCCGGGAAAAAGTGTTTTTTGTCGGGTCGTCCCAAAAAGCAATTTCCCCATTTATGGCCGGCGTTTGTTGTTGCTGTCGTCTCGGCAGACGCTGCCCAGCCACCCAATTAAGCCATAAGACGGCCAGCCACCACCCAGCACCACCCACCACCACCCCCTGGAAAAGCTGTTGCCACCACAACCTACAGCAACAAAATTTGTCTGAGGGCGTCATTCGACTCGGGCCCTCTCTTTCCCCCACCAAGCCCTCTCGCTTGCTCACTCTGGGCCAAAAGTTTTTCCACTTCTCTATGTGTGAGTGGGGCAAAGTGTTTTTTCAATTTTATTTGTTAGTTTCTTGTGCTGCTTCTTAGTTCTTAGTTCCTGCCAACTTTTCCCAGCCCAGGGGGGTGGGCTACTTTGACGCCCTTTTGTCTTACGACATCGAATGGTCGTCCTAGAGACGCAGCTTCGCATTCTTCGGGAGCCAGTTGCCTTCATCTAGATTCCCTTTTCCCTTGTAGTTATTTTCCCCATTTTCAACTGCTCCTAGGACTTTTCCCTCTCCGTTCCTTTTCGTTTTTTATGTATTTAAATGTCTCAAGGGTGGTTTATGACATCTCATTCTTCTTGTTTGCTCTGCTCCTGCGAGCTGGTTCCCTTTGGCTGTGCTTTATTGATTTCAAAGTCGAGTGGAATTTCATTTTGTGCAGGATCAAGTGACCCAATTCTGAACATGCATACTTTCCAGTTTATTTTTACAAGTTTTAGTCTTTAGTTATTTAGTTTAGGCAGGTATATAATAGGAATATATACTATTGGAGTTTTAACAACCAAATATCAAGATGTTTAGTTTAAAAATAATAACTTCAATACTTAAAGGTTGCATTTTTACGTTTTCCCACTTGAACAATTTGAACTTCGTTTGAGTTAATTATAATATCGTTGGCTTTCGCAACACACATATGTCTAAATCTCAGTCTCTCAATCTCAGACTCAAACACTTGGGCACACGTGTTGCTGTTCAACTCAAATTTATATTTTTTGCCGCTTTCAAATAAGGTGCGTAAACAGGTGTCAAAAATTAATGGCAACAAAAGCAACAGCCTCTGTGGCAATAAACCAGATCTAACAAGTTGTTGGTCATGTTTGGCTCTTGAATAAAGACGAAAAGTAAGGCGCTACAAATTCGAAAAAAAGTCAAATAAATAAATGTAAATTATTCGAAATGCCATTTACGTTGAGAAATTTTAACTACGCAAAAAAACTGCTCTAATTGTTTGTAAGCCCTCAAAAATATGTTTGAAGTGGGTGTTAAAGCTGGCGTGGACCCTATAAAGTGGAATTAAAATGGTTCATGAAGCTGGCATACGGGAAGGTAACTTAGTTACGAAGAGGGAAGTAAATTTATAAAAATTCAAAGTTTCAAAAACATCTGGTATTTAAAAATCAATTGCACAGAAATAAAGTTACGGATGGACTCAACTTTTCTGTTTATACATTTTCATTTACTTTTTTAGAGGGCATTACAACTGCGCTAAGCTGAAAATATCGTTGTCAAATTTGTCATGCCCATAAAATTGTTGATTGTGATATTGTTTGTAGGAAACCGCAATCTACTTACATGTGACAGTTAAGCGGCTCTGGGCGAACAGCCGAAACCAGCAAAAAAACACGGCATCAAAGGTAAATTAAACTCACCTGCAAAAGAGCAAAAGAGAGAAAAGAAAATCAAAATACAAGACATTCGCACATAAGTGTATTAATGAAATAGTTTTTGGCATTATTTGAGCTTCCCCTTTTTAAATTTGGTTTTTTATTGTTGCTCACATGTTTGCATTGAGCATGCCAAAATTAATTTGTTATTGTTGCCCAGAGTGAAGCAAGAGCAACAATTTTAATTGCTGCACTGCCTGCAATTAATTTGTCAATAAAACACATTTTGGCTTTTAGCGAGAGAGACGCCTTTTTGCCCCAAACTTTTCCCGATTCTTCCCCCCTGCCGGGGATTTGCACTTTGCAGCGTTCTATTTCTCGATCTTTTTCCTTTTGCCAAAGATTTATGTTGCACTGCATGCCACAGCCAGCAGCCAAAACACCCTTTTTCCCAACCCCCGTGTTTGCGAGGAAAAATTCTTTGCCAGACTCGTGGCAATTATTTTCAATTTCAATGCAATTTTTCCCTTTATTTTCGCTGGCGCTTTTCCCTGTTTTCTTTTCGGCTCTTTGCCGGTGGCGTTGATTTTTCTAAAAGTGTTTTTGGCCAAGTGCTTGTAAGAAAGCCAGTACTATTTAGCCCTATGCCATTTTTCCACATTTTCTGCCGAGCGCATAATGCAAAATTAAAAATAAATGCAAAATGAAATTCGTGTGCTGCTGCCAAATCGAAAGTAAGAATAGGGTCCTAATTATACATGATCGAATGTTAGGTTCTCTCAATAGAAGAAGCAGAAAAATTACGTATTATTTTTGGGTGATTCACTATTTCTTTAATTCTTATTTCGGCCCTCTTTTGAACTTTGAGTTGCGGCCAAATTATGAAAGGAGCATTTTCAGAAACAGTGGGGTTTATGGGCCGTCGCGTAAATTGTTTCAAATGTTGCAATAATATGCAAATCGTACCCATCACAGGCTTTAGGAAACGGCACGCAATAAATTAACGCAATAAATTCAGTGGAAACAGCAGAAAGAATAAAAATGTCAAGCTAATCATAGGAATAGCGAATATAAAATACTCTTGGCATCTTCAAACAGGCAATATTAGTCTATATATGAGGAACCACTCTTTATTTTGTAGAGGTGGAGGTTAATAATTGAAACTTTTACTCGTACTCAGTACTATTTCTTGCATCTATAATCTTATCATTTACTTAAAAACAATTTTTTGTCTGAAGAATTAAGTTAAACTGCTTGAAACAGCTTGAGTTATATCGAAACTAGAGTACCACAAAGTACGAAAACATTAGACGAAAGGGGCGGCGAATGAAGGGGGTTTTCAGCGGCGGCGTCAGTTTAGTGTGTTCTGTTTGTCGCCAGACAGAGACGGCAATTGAGTGTCTGAGAGGGACGGGCAGACAGGCGATGTTGTCCTTTTGCGTGCGAAAAACGAACAAACGTACAAACGGACGGACGGCGTCAAAATGGCGTCGCCAATATGTCGCCGATATCCCCGCTTTTTGTCTATATACTCCCCTATTCCGTCGCCCGATTTCCCGGCTTCTCCCCCTGCAGCCACGGCTATGGCTCTTGTTGTTGTGGGGAGCGTTAATTGCCCCCTTTGAGCTGACTGACAGCGAACGATAAACGAGCAAACAGTTGCAAAAGTCGCCAGATCTTGAGGGAGAATATCCCCATCCCTTCGCCATCCCTCTAATGCTGTTTTATTTATACGACCATCATCATTATCATTTGTCGCCCCCCTCCGACCCCGCCGCTGCCTCCATCGGGTTGCCATTTTTAATTTAGCAAATGTTGTAAATTTACGCTAATTTATTGCGTGTCGCCTGAGGCCGCCAGCAAAAATGCGGAGGGGAAAAAGTGCAAAAAGGAGATCAGACTCTTCTGGCGGCATTAGTCACTCGTGGTTGGTGGCCACAGCTAATTGCCGCACAACAACGAGGAAACAAAATCCCAGCCAGGACATCTTAATCGCCATTAAAATACAGTTTTGATTTACTATCAGCCAGCTAAAAAGAATATGGAGAGAGGAAGGTGCCAACACGATATTTTACGTAAGCGAGCAAACACAACAAGGAAGAAAAGCCACTCGGGTTGCACCTGAAGGAGTTCTGACAATAAATCACACGGACGTGGCAGTGCGGGGAAAAGAAAGGATAAACCGCAAAAGAAAGTCCGGGCAAGGCGAGCATACGGAAAAATAACACGGAAAACTTTTTTTCAACTGGAAGGAAAATCTATGATCTACTTGGCGGAAAAACCTATTACACAAGTGAATTTCAATTTTCCAACAATTTATCACACGACTGATACAGTTTACCATCAATCTATTTCGATATCAGCAGGGACCTTTCATCAATCACAATCTAATAAAATTTCTGAATCTACTACTGAGTGAATATTTAATTTAAGTGAATTTAAATACAAAATGCCGTGCCTTTCTGGCTTCCAATTTTGTCCAGTGCACACCTGAGACAGGTGTAAGTTTGTCGCTGCTCTCCTTTCCTCTGCCTAATGCAAAACTGTGCTAATTATGGACAACATTTGCTCCCACAGGCCAGCGGTTTGGGGAGCGGGACAGTTGGGGTTTGGTGTCAGGGGGTTGTGGTTGCGGTCTGGGGACATGGAAAGTTGTGGGGTGGGGGGGGGCTCGAAAGAAGGAAGGAAACCCACTCAGGCTACATCAAAGACAAGTCTGCTCCTCGAAATGGCTTTTAATTACAGCCTCGTCGTGCAAGAGGTCGCCGATGTCGGGTAGACATTGTCGTCGTCTTCGCCTCGTGGTCGTTGGTCTTTGGACGGAGGTGGGGATGGCGATGGAGTCGGAGTTGCTGTCGCTTGTTTGCATAATTTATTGTAATGAGACCGCGGGATGTTGCGGCGGTTTCTCTGGGGATTTGTGGGGGGAGGTCGGAGGGAAGGGGCATGAGCGGAGGCTTTAAAGGAACGGGAGTGCACTAAATTTCTAAGTTTCCCCCTAATTGACCAGCGTTAAGTAAGCACCCAGGAAAAGCATATATTACCATGAAATAGGGCTGACCAACCATGAGTAGCGCCGTCGCCAAAGGTCAAAAAGGATGTAATCATAAAATATAACCTTTCATACATATCGCTCATTTGTTAAAGTAAAGACATACTCGATTTTTAAGTTAACAAGGCAGAAGTGTTATTTGTGTAACATTCTATGTTGTTTAAAGATTTAATGATCGTTGCTATGAGACATTTTGTGGTTGAAAGCTTTAAATGTGCTTATCTCGAAATAATATTTTAGAAGTGTGTCACTCTTCTAATAAATTAAAAATTTGTGCAAGAGAACTCTCAAGCTACGTTCAGACGACTAAATTATTCTAATAATTTTAATAAACCCTTTAGTCTTTAATTTTATACATAAGACGTTAACCTTTCGGAAAAATAAAACCCGAATCTTTCTAAGCAGTCTACAGTCTCTTAACGTACAAGATCCTATGTTGTTAAACTAATTTATACTAAACTTTTTGACAAAAATTAATTAATTTATCTTTTGGAAAAATTTTGGTTAAATTTCAAATACTCTTTACCAATTTTAAAAAATTAAAAAGCGTTGAAAATTTCTTTGGCAATTTTAAAAATTTTGTAGAAAAAATTTGGTTGTTTGTCTGTAGCTCGAGTGTTTTGTATTATTATGGACTGAAATTGTCTTGAAGTGACAAGTTTTACCTCGAAACTTGCATTTTTTATGACATCCTTTCTAAGAAATTCGCCCCAAAATCCAATTACTCTGGGTGATTTATTCAAACGAATGCACAGTCCGCTGACATTATTGTCTAGCTCATCATAATTTTCTTCATCGTAATCATCATCAGCGCAGCATTCGTCGTCCCTTGTTTGCCTTTTCACAAATCATGGCTCAAGGTTCGGTCCACATCAACTGGCACAGCGCAAATTGTGAAAAACCCCGAAAACAACAACAAAATAGGGGGCAGCAACAACAAACAAGCGTCTAATGAAAAATTTGTGAAAAATAGCTGCAGAAGCAAACGAAATAGAACAACAAAACCGTTTCTTCCAATTAATGGGCAGAAATTGCAGAAACGGCAAGGAAAAGCGGGGCGAAGCAAATTTGTAGCTTTGGCCGACGCTCATCTTGAGTTTATTTGTTTAGGGGGAAGTGCATAGAGCAGCAAATGAAATATTAATTAGTGGCCGAATCAGATGAAAAGAGCAATAGAGGCACTAAAAATACAAATACGCAGGGGGAAATCCTGAGGTCAGATTGCCATAAATATAAGCAGATCGAAGATAATGGGTTTGATATATTTAAATTTGATTAAAATGTAGGTCGTGTTTGCATTTGAAATGTATATCAATGTGCAAAGGATTTCTTTGGACAAAGATTCCCATTTTAATGTTCGATATGGCAATGTAAGTTGCACCAGTTTACTCTCCTGATATAGTTTCCAACCTATTTTGTCTGAGTTGCACCGTATTGAACCTGGCAAAGTTCTCCCTAGCAGGCCAGTGTATTTGTGTCAGCCGCAGCCACTGCAGCCCGCAGCAATTAAGGACATCAGCATCAGGGATGTGCCTGCCACAGCACCCGAAAAAGATAAATGCAACTACTGAAGGGGGAAAAGTGATGGGGTTGCAATAGCTGGGCTCGTGCCACCCACAACTCGTGTTCCACCCACTGGCGCACACAGAACACTTTCCAACTATAAAGCCGGGGTGTACGGATGGCGTCTCCGCAAACTGGGTCAAAATTATAAACACGTTATCATGCAAATGGCACAGAGGGGGTGGCCGGAAAACGAAAAGGGAAACCCAGGCAGGCGGAGAGGATACGTTGACATGGCAGACAGGCAAAGGAGACAAAGCAAGACGGCAGGAGAGGAATGCAAATTATCCTGGCTGGCGAACATGAAAAATGCACAAGGACCAGGTTGGTTGGCACCCATGGACAAGGGGAAATTCGTTGCCCGAGGAAGCGGAGGGCATTCTCTGTGGAATGTTTGGATGAAACTAAGCCAGCCTCGCAGTTGGTAACACTATTATATTGCTGTCTGTCGCTGATTTAAGCATCCAGAAACATCAAAATATCCAACAAACGGCTGTACCTAAGTTTAATTACTTTTAACTGTTATCGTGATATTTAAACCTGTTATATTTTAACCTTCAGCCAGCCTGGAAATTAACAGGCAGTTGCTGATGTTTTTGATTTAGGGTTTGGCGTGGCATTTTGAGGCGGACTGCGCATCGCTGCGCGGCGGCAATTTTAACTGCAATTGTTTATTGATGTAATTTGGCCGCACAATTCGCACAATAAAACGAGTTGTAATTGCATAGAGATCCATATCTGCATCTTTATGTGGGCCTTAATATATGCACACATCTCTATACGAAATCGGTATCTTTCAGCCGTACATCGCTTTCATTGCGTGTAAATGATATTTATGTCTGGACTCCTGCTTTTTAAACTCCAATGATATTTTCCCCGCACTCGGCTTGCCGGCTTTGTAAATAAAAAAAAATTTACAAATTGCGTGAGCAAGGCAACTATTTCCTAGCCCCTCCCATTGGCAACTTTCTGCTGAACTAATTAAAAATCAGACTTTTTAATTAAATGATTAAAATCGGACAGATGAGAGAGAGAGAGAGAGGGACACAGTCGAAGCCGCAGACAAAACAAACCACAAGATGATGACCATCATTCATTCATTTGGCCATCACTCATTCAGTCATTCATTTATTCCAGGTTCTTGGAAATTCTCACACAATTTTCGCGCGCATTTTCCGCGGCTTAGCTTAAGTCTCCCCTGTTGTCCCGGAAATGGTAAACCGCTGGGAAAATGGTTAGATGGAAAACAGCAGCCTTCCCGCTCACTCAATTGGTGCCGCATTCGTCACACAATTGCTGCATATGGTGGAAAATCGAATCATCCGATGGAGGGGGCTATTGGAATTCCTTTACTGAAGATTATTGATTAACAGGCAATTATTAAAAACTATTTACAACTAGGCAATGCTATTATTAAGGATAAAAACAGTTATACTAGGTGTTATAACTTACATGTTAAGTTATAAGCAATACTTTTTTCTCAGTGCTTGATCTCCCCTGAACTTATATGGCCATACTCCCAGCCCATTTGAATTCAGACTCGAGTCCAAAGTTTAGCGGACCTGACATGTGCACCAGTCGCTCGTTGATCCGTCAGCAGGACTTGGAATATGGATGGATGGCCGGGCAGTCCGACCGTCTTGGATTGGCATTTTTACTGTGGCAAATCTAAGTTTGGCCCGCAACTCGCTGGCCCGGCTTGCTTAATTGCCAGCTCACGTTTCGGCTCGCCTGCTTCGATTTCCATTCTGTCGCATGACATTTGCACCCCTCCACTCCGATCCCCGCCCCTGGCCGAGTAGAAGACAAATCGCTCGGTTCAATAGCAGCAAGCGGCAACAAACACAACAATGGGTAATGGGTAATGGCATTGGGAGCCGGATAATCAGCGATATAGCAATACAGCAGACGACTTCGACTTCGACTGCGACTGCGACTACGGCGACTTTGGCGACGGGCAAACTCCACGCGAGCAATGCAAATGCCAATGCACACATGCAGCAGGGATCCAAATAAAAGAGATTGGATGGAAGGTGGAGGGGAAGTCCCCAGAGATGGGAGCGTGAGTCGTGAAAATGTTGAAAGTGTAGAAAGGTACGTTGCAGTTTTATGATCGATTTTAAATTAAAAGAGGTGTGTAAAAAGTTTGTGAATTAACAGCCCCATATAACATGT